CTTTGACGCCTTTCAAATACCAAAAGACCAAATGCAGTACAGTGAACTGGTAACTGGCACGGAGAGTCTTCTCCTCCAGAGTTTACTAAACTTCTGCAGTTTCTTAAGTTGTAAAGATGAACTTGAATCACCACAGTGGGTTTCTGAGGCTCTTTAGCTCTAACCTAACATTACTACTTTGATGATCATGCCAACATAAAATTATAGCTGTATGGAATCATGTATTTCAATACTAAAAAGGGCAGTAAACTAAAAGCTTTATTATTACTGTTATTATTACAATTTAAAATTGTTCTTCACCTCACTAACGTATTACGTTCAGGGCTTAAAAACCTCATCTGCTCTAAAGACTCTTTAATTACAGAGATTTCTTATGTTGTGTCTGAATCTGATGCAAACGAGTGTTTGCATAAATAAATTCACCTTGAAAAAACAGCCGAATTTAAAAAAAAGTGTGAATGAAAGAATGTGAAAGGATAAAAGGGGAGTGCGGAGGAGGATGTACGGGGGAGACGTTTCTCTAGTTTTCTCTTGAATTCACCCTGAAAACCTGCGGGAGCAGAGGAGGGGGAAAGAGTCGAGCACTTCTGGACTTTTTTTTTCTCGTGTTTTCTCTCCGAGTCGTATCTCTGTCTGTCTTCCGTCACTTATAAAAAAAAAAAGAGCGATGACTAGCGGGAAGAGAGGAACGTAATGGATTAGAGAACTTGAAACAAACACGAAGCAGACAATTTCACTAAAAAAATGCCGTTTGAACAGTGCCACTAACCTTGTCGATCTTCTGTCCTACTACGACAAAATCTAACGTCGCCTAAAAAGTCATACAGTGTATATAATGAAACTGCTACCAAACTGCTCAGCATACAACTAGCAGGTGAGACAGATTGTTTTTCGAAACAGGAACGCGTTCCTTTATTAAAGTATATAATAAGATGCGCAGAGAGCGTCTCGGGATAACCAGAAGATATTTTCTCTACAGAAAGTGTAAGTCGAGAGCTTCCCTTTCATTAACAATTTAGAAACACACCGCATCTACAACAATGTCAAACCTACATTAGACTTTTATAACAAAAAGCTGAAGTGTTGACAGAAAGTTGTTATTTTTAAAGTATTAGTTGCACACTTAAGAACCAGTGCAGTGACAATCTAGCTTTGGGGTCTTAACCATTGATTTATATGTGCAACTATGTTTATTCTCACAATACGAACGCAGAAACACCAGACGTCTACAGCTTTGGTTGAAATGTAAAGCGAGTGGAAGGAAAGTTCTAAAACCACTACACTGAAAACTGATGTATTTCATGCAAAAACCTCTAAGGCTGGAAATATAGCATATTTTCCTCTTCGTGCGTTAGTCATTCCCCAAACTAGGGGAAAAAAAGAAGCTTATTACTTAAAAACAAGATCACAGGGCAGAAGAGAAAATGTTCAGAGACCCTGCTGCGTGCAAATGTACTCGAGGTGCTACAGACCTCTTTCATGTAAAATTTGTGATTCTTCGTCTTCTTCACAAGTTAACGACTTAAAAGAAAGCGCAAAAGGTTTTAGCCTAGTATAAAAGTGACAAGTTATTTTCATTTAAAAATGTTTAAATTAAAATATTTTTTAT